GCCGCCGCTACCGGGGGCTCGTCTCGCTTCTGCTGCTCCTCGTGCTCCGCCGTCGCCGCGCAGCGCCGCCACCCCCYGCCCCGCGCCGCGGCCGCCTCCGAGATGCCCCGCTATGAACTGGCTTTGATCCTGAAAGCCATGCAGAGGGTGAGTGCGGGGGGGCGGCCCCCGCGCGCGCCCCGGCCCCGCGCGGCCGCCCTGGCCCCTTCCTCCTCCTCCTCCTTCCCGCTCTCCTCCTCGGAGGAGTTGGCAGCCCCCGCGCCCTGCCCGCTGCCAGCCCGCAGGTAAGCGGCCCCGCACCGCCCCGTGCCCCCGCACCGCCCCGCTCCCCATTGCCCCTTCTGCCCCACCCCGGGCGGGATGGGGGGGCTGCCGATACCGGTTGCGCCGCGGTGCCCGCAGGGCCCCTCCCGGCGCCTGCCCTGAAACAGGGGTAAAAGATCCCGCTCTACCCCCGCACCCCCCCATGGTGCTTGTATGTTGAGGTGTATGAAAACGAATTAAAAATCAGCGCGTAAAGCAAGGGGCGCCTCGCGCGTAGGCGGGAGCCGTGCCCGGGGTGCATCCCGAGCCGTGCCCGGGGTGCATCCCGAGCCGTGTCCAGGTGCATCCCGAGCCGTGTCCAGGTGCATCCCGAGCCGTGTCCAGGTGCATCCCGAGCCGTGTCCAGGTGCATCCCGAGCCATGGCCAGGCGCATCCCGAGCCGTGCCCGGGGCCGCCCGCCGGGCTCCAGCCGGCGCGGCCGCGCTCCCGGTTCCCGCGGAGCGGCGGGAAGGGGGAGCGCAGCGCGCGGCCGCGCGTGCCGCGAGCGCTGCAAACACTAGTACATTTCCATTCATTTTACATGGAGCATCCACATGTCAGGGTTGGCTGCTTCCTTTTTTTTTTTTTTTTCTCTCTTTCCTCCCCCCCCCTTTTTTTTTTTTTTTTTAACTTGGCTGCAACTGCCGGCGCTCCAGTCAGGTGAGTCCCCTAGTGGAGAAACGGAGCAATTGGGGGGGTTGGAAAAGGGAAAACGTGGCCCTGCCGCCTCGGCTCGTGGAGCAGCCAGCGCAGCCCGRCCGAGGCTCCTGTTGTCCGAGGGCCATCCCTGCCCTTCCCAGTGCCCCAGCCCGCGGGAGCCGCAGGTGCGGAGGTGCTTTCCCTGTGGAGATGCTTCCYGTCTACCTGCTGCCAGTCCCTGCCTTGCCGTGAGGCACTAGTAAATGAACCGTCCTGAGAGGGTGTCGTGGAGCGCTGTGCTCCGTGGGGAAAAGGGCTGGGGATCCTAGGGTCCGAGCACTGGGTTGGGGCACAGGGTTAAGCTTTCGGTGGGAAAATGCTCCCCATGGGCCCCCATGGGTCAGTACACTTGGAAGACGTAACATCTGTAGCCTTTCCTTCTTTAAAATTTGACTCTTATTTCCTAAGAGGTGYTTCTTGAAGTACTTATTTTTTAATTCCATTTTTTTTAAGCTCTGTAGTTATGGGAAAACCCTTAAGTTTAAGGATACTGTTGTTTTTAATCTACACGTATTACTCTACACGTATTACTCCAGAGCCTGAAGAGTTTAGATACTGTTTTTCCTGTTGCTTGCAGACMGCCAGGTTTGGTGTGCTTCTTTACATATACACATAAGTTGCTGCTCTTGCCTTTCTTCTAAAATGAAAGTACTCTAGAAACACTGGGGTTCTGACTAAGCTGGGAGATTCTGCTGAATCCTGGCAAATGGGTTGCTCTAGTGTCCTCCCCGCAACAGTGCTTCATCTCGAGCGCAGCGCTAGCTTGACATTAGCCAAGATAGGGAGACCCGAATTGGGGTCTAGTCAAATGCTCTGAAATGATGCAGTGCCTATATTACACTTCTCTGTGGAAGGTGAGGTGCTCGTATGGCTCATGGAGTACCAAATAGATTAACCCTGCTGATTAATGCTTATGCTGTTTGATGAAGCTAGACGTTCAGCCGATGTTCAGCCGTGCTGATGCCTCTGTGCCACAACTGCATGCTCTTTGCTCCTGCTTTACCCGAGACCTGCTCAAATGCCGGCTTTTCTCTGGGGCTCCTGGCATGCTCCCTGGCCTCTGACAGCCCCTAGRCTTTGCAATAAAGTAAGCCCTGGCTTTCCTGTGCTTCAGGGCTGTTGCCGATCCTGGTGGCTCCCTAGTAGCTTGAGCGGAGCGTGCTCGGAGCTGTGGTCCTTACCTTTGCACCGCGCTTCCTTCAGCAACTCGCGTCATGCCTCTGTGGGCTTCCCCCCACCCACGGGGCTCTCAGCAGCTCCCACAGCATTTGCGTGGATCCGGGTAGGAAAAGCCCCCCGTGCACTTTGCTGTCACTTCAGTCTCTGCTCCCTGGCGCGGGTTGCGCTCGAGTTGGGGACCCCTCGTTCCGCCCTTGCACGTGGCTGCTGTGCACGCTGCCTGTTGCCCCGATGGCCTCTCTGCAGGAAACCAGGGCCCCTCTGTATTGCTGGATGCTCCCATGTGCCTCTGACTGCAGATTTACTCCAAGTCCCTTCAGCTGTTTCTGTTTTTTTTTTTTTTTTTTTTTTTAAATACCTTAAAGTGCAGTGCCCCAGTGAGTAGCTTGCAAGAACCAGTGAGTTTCTTGCAAGGAGAGAGAGAGAGAGAGAAGGGGAAAAAACAAAACAAGCAGAAAAACAGAAACAAATAACCCCCACCCCCCCAAAAAAAACCCCAATGACCAAATAGAAATTATTCCCCCTGCCCCGGCCTCCCCAAAAAAGCACAACAAAAACACACTCTGTCTGTGTGTGTGGTCTGCAATACTCTCTGAAGAGTAATTRCAGTGAGAGTTGGATTGGATCACATAACCCTTTAGCGGGAATGCATGGAGGATGTGGTTTGGGAAGGGAAAGGTGTGATGGCAGTAAGGTAAAAAGTCTTAACTTGCAATAAAAACAATGGCCGTTGCCYGTGTGTGACACTCCGTGATGCCCTACGGATGCATAAAGGGATGAGCTGGGAAGGTTGGGTGGCAGAGCTGCTGCTGTCAGTGACACGGAGGCGCGTGTGGAGCAGACGCGCGGCCTGCCCTCGTTAGGCCGAGTCCAAGCGCACAGCTGTGCGGGTAGAGGCACAGCGCGAAGACGTAGCTGCTCRTGCTCCAGGGTTCAGGCTGTAGGTGAATGGCAGACTGCTTCCAGCCTCTTCTCGGGAGAGCTGGCTTCCAGCAGGGGAATTACGGAGAGCAGCACCTTGGGTAGGGAAGGGTAGTGACCCTCTAGTTAAGCGGTGGGAGGTTTTGTCTGCTGGAGAAGGGAGCTGTCTTTGGGGAAGCTTCCTTGGGTTTCCCTCCTCTGGCTGCTGGGAGCCCTTGGAGCACTGGGGAGGGAAGGAGGAGCTGGAAATGGCTTCCTCTTGGGGTGACAATAGGAGGAGCCCTGTGGGGAGCAGGGGCAGGCAGGGTGTCACTGTCCCCGCGCTGCGCCTGTTGCTGCCCTGGGACGCCTACCAACAAGACAACTTTTTAACTGGAATGAATAAAGGGCAGCTCCAAATAACGCTCCGGTGTGAGGGTCTTTTTCCTTTTTATTTTATTTTTTTTCTTAAAAAAAAGGGATAAAGTGCCCTGATGTTTTGATATTGGTGTGTTCTCTCTCCCCATTTCACCTATACTCAAGGACAAATACACAGWATGAGTTCAGTTCTCTTGTTTTAGCAAACACCTGGCATAGGGGACCCTGCTCCTGTAATCCCGAAGGGAATCTCGGGCTCCGTTTGACTTGCAGGCTCACACAGCACAACCTGTGCTCAGYGCCTCTCTGGGCTCTGAGCAGGCTGCCGTGTTTCCACACTTCCTTATCTGCTCTGTGGATCCCCCGGCTGTTGTGGGAGAGCCGGAGCAAGGGGCAGCAGCAGCGCTGCTTGGCATCCTGGCTGTTAACCCCAGTGTGGGCAGCTGCAGCTTTGGATATCCTTTGGGCTTTGGATATCCTCCTGGGTAGGAAGGAGGAAGGGGTGGGTGAGTAAAGAGGGCAGCAAGCAGACAAGATAGTGTTTTGATTTTCATTCCTTTCTGKTTAACCTACGTATTCTACGTGTCCTCCTCCCTTTTCCCCCAGCTTAGTAGACTGAAACTGGACAAAATTTTTCCACTGTCGTCTTTGGCTTTTTCAGTAGGTTGAAGTAGGCTCCTCTTCCTCTCGTATCACAAGAGGGGAAGTAGTAGGAGTGGTGCTTTTGGGGGTGTGGAAAGAAGGCCAAAGAGTTGGAAATAAAAGGTGAGATCAGAATGTGAGGAGATCTCTAGTAGACCTTCTTGTAGGAAGCTGCTTTTTGTTTTCTGCCTTAAGCTTCTCAACAAGAGTAATTGTACCTTTAAACGTGTGATGTAGATAGGTAGTACTTAGGAGTAATGCCTTCTTGGCTGAAGTTTGTCATGTTTTATCATAACATCTGAGAATAGCTTCTCTGCTAAATTTCTGCCAAGTGTGGGGTATGTTCCTGGTTTGGGTCTGGGGGACAGTAGAGGATCCTTCTCTCATACAAGAAAGGTCCAAACTTTTCTTTATAGCAGGTAGCTGTTAGTTAGATGAGTTTAGTAAAGTTGACTGTTCTACCATCGCTGTCAACATAGTACTCATTTTGTACAGAAAAACACTCGATTTAGACAGGCTTTTTTGTTACATGGAGCAACGTGCTTGATGCTGTGTCTGYGTTGGGATGCGCTGGCTGCCCTGCAGCTCTTGTTCCTGGAGGTAGAGCCGCAAGCCCAGGCGCCGAGGGAGCCCTGTGGGAGAGGGGCAGTGTGTGGGCCCCACGTCCACAATGGGGGGTTTCACTTAACCCTGGAGATGAGGCCTATAAGGCCTCTCCCCTCTGCCCCTTTCATCTCTTAGGCAATGGGCTGTGTTCTCTTGGCTCTGTCTCTCACTTGTCTGCTCTGTGTGTTTATACACTGACACATCATATATATGATCAGGGAGACGCTCATTTACTTCAGCCTGAGAGTATATTCTACCCTTCAACTTTCGAAGTAAAAGGAAGGAGAACCTGTTGTACTGACCCAGCAGCTTCATTGCTCTCCACTGCTGTACGATTGCCCGAGAGTCACTGACTGTAGCACATGTCCTTTATTGCTTAGGTTAATTTAAAGGATTATTCTAAACATGAGTGYATGTGTATGCTCGCTTGCTTCTAATA